TTCCAATGGAAATATTTTTATTTACGCGTAACCTAGAAATGACCGTCTTCACCATTTCCCGAGGTGTGCCGCCAAGGGCATTAAGGGCACTCACACTGCTGTGCGATCACTGCCAGCATCCATCTCTGGAGGGATCTGTGTCCTGTTACTGTTGCCCCTTTCCTCTGCTGTATTCCTCTGCTGTATTTTCCATCAGTTAGGGCATTTTGCCTGGCTGCTTCTGCTCAGAAGATGGTCAAGGCAGTGATTTCTGCTCCCTATTCTCTCCCCACCCCACCAAGCACAGGGACATTGGGCAGTGTCTGGATACGTTTTGGGTTGTCCTCACTAAGGAGGGTGGTCTGCTACTGGCGTCTGGCAGGTAGAGGACAGGGATGTTGCTAAGCACCCCAGAATGCCCAGGGCAGCCAGCAACACCCCCAATCCCCATCCTAAATGTGAACATTGTGGAGGTTGAGTAAACCCTGGATTAAGCCCATAGAGGAAATGGTCTGGATTTTCCTTTGCTCAGACCCACCTAGTCAAAAGCCAAACTAGGATCCCACGATTCCAATAGAATGTCGAAGCTGTGTTTCTGGCTAATTTGGAATCAAAAGATTAACTTGGACTCTGTATTTTTATGCTGCTGTCATTTTGTTTAAAATAACTTTTATGTTTTCCTTTATGGCCATTTTCTTCCCTTAATTACTTGTATCACCATTTTTTCATGATTCATTAAAGGCAATTGCACTGTGATATGCCAGGGTCTGGTTATACAGCAGTGAAAACAGCACGTCTGTATCCTTGTGGGGGCTTTTAGTTTAACTTATAATGAATCTAATACATATGTAAGCATAGGATTTAGAAAATGAAAAGGTCAAGGCCAGGAGTCTTTAGAAATCTATTAGCAACTTGGTGAGATACTGGCCTCTACCTCCAGTGTACCTCTTATACTCCTCCTAAATGCACACTCTTTCCAAAACCCCCTTGGGCAGCTACTTCTGAGTTTCTTGCTGACATCTCAAACCAGGAACACGCACCATGGTAGACACCATACCCAAAAGCTCCACCATGGTTCTGAGCCCATTTCGACTTCTCTAGTTGGGTGCCAGAGTATGCTATGTGTAGCCCTTCAGGGTCAACACCCACCCCCTGCCAGCTGTTACCTGTATTAGTACTAGCTTCCTTTTCTCTGGATCTCTTAGTTCTGTGGGTAGAGTAGGAGAAAGAAATTGGCTTTATCTACCATATATGCTTCTTCTTAGCCCCCAATCTTTGTGTTGGTAGTTGTCACACAAGGGTATTTCTAGGATTATGTTCTCTTTATGTAGTTCTGTATAACACGGGTATGAGTGGATATGAGAGAGGTCATGAAAAAAATCCAGCGTTCCATTCAGCTAATAATTTTTGAGCGCCTACTAAGTATTCTAAAACCATAGACCCATAGAGTATGGAACAATCTAGACCAATGTTCTCCAGAAGAACATTCTGGTACGGTGGACTGTGGTCTGTCTGTATTGGCCAGTGTGGTAGTCACTGGCCACAGGTATCCACTGGGCCTTTGAAATGGGACTCGTGTGGGCTGAGAAATTGAAGTTTTGATTGTGTTTAATTTCAGTGAATTTAATTTCAATAGCCACGCATGTTGGCCTATTGGAAAGTGCAAGTATGGACCAATCCCCTAACCACTTCCTCTATATTCTCAAGTTTTGACTAGTCCGAATATGCTAAGTGAGGACCAGTTGGAGATGGCCATCAGTTCCTCATCTCGGGCTGGGGTGGGAGCAGTGTCAAGGGTCATTATGGGTGGGTGACTGAGAATTAAATCTTGTCATGAGTGTTAATGTTTGGTTGCCTCTTCACCTCTGATGGCCCCACTTACTACATTGTGAAGTCTTTTGTGCCAGGAAGTTTTCATGGTCCCTGATCACATCTTGAGTGCTTAGATTTCAAATAAAACCATGTTAGCCGTGAACGTTCGATACTAACAGCAGTGTTAGAATCAAAATCCTATTTAAAAAAAAAAAACCCTAAGTCTCTCTTTCCTTGCTTCCCCCTGGACGCACTCATAGCCCAGGCGCTACTCCGTCAGATGCTGAACAAGCACCTCCTCCAACCTTACTGTGGCTCTGGGCATGTTGACTTTCCAGTCCTCCTGTAACCGGCACTGATGGCTTGTTTGTGGACCTTATTTTCACAAAACTGCATATGCGTTTCTCTCTGTGCACTTGGGGGAGAGTTTTCGAGGGAGTGTTCCATCTGAGGAAAAATGAAAAGCCAGCGTTTCTGTCTCAGGGTTTAAAGACTCGGAGCTCAGGTCCCTGCTTTCTGATCTGAACAACCAGGAGTTGAGCTAGGGGAGCCCTGCGGTTCTGCACTTGGCTGTGTCCTGGGCTGTGTACCGGGCCTGGGAGGGGGGCGCAGAGCCACACAGGACATGCAGAGCAGACCTGCCGCTCCAGGGGCGGGGACGTCTCTGCAGGGAGGTCTGCAGACAGACTCAGGGAGAGGGAGGGTGTGGTTAGGGTCCCAGCTAGAGGTGAAGGGTGGCGGGGGAAGCCATCACCTCTAGAACTTAAAATCTCAATGTACTCCATTTTCCCTTGTTGCCCATCTTCTAGAAATTCTGTGTCCTGCTAGGGAGTGATAGCTAGTTTATTGCTCTCCTCTATGGAGCAAATTTGATAAAAGACCTTTTCACAAAAAGAAGAGCCTTGACACACACAGATACACCAACACACACATACCCTCACCCAATAGGAACGTATACAAAGAAAACCTCACTAACATGGCTAACTGTTGCTAATTTATGGGGATGTTGCTGTATTTCATTCTCTTCATAAATTCAGCAGGATGCTGTGGGTAGCTCCTTGCCTGTAAACACAGGTGTATGTCAGGTTTAACTTTTACGATTTATAGATTGTTGAGATCTTTGCCCGTTTGCGAGATTGTCTCCTGAGGCCAAGAGTCTATTCATGACAGGGTCTGATGGGCTGTTGCCAGCTGCCCTCTGAAAGGTCAGTCCATCTGAACCTGGGCACAGTACACCTGTGTGGCCACATCCTTTCTACTGAAGGTCTTACCAGTTTCTGTACCTTTGCTTCTGGGGTGGATAATGGTGCTGCTAATCTGTTATTTGCATTTCTTTGATTAATGGCCATTGAATAGTTTTTCATGTGGTCTGTAGTTTTTTTGTGGCTTGTATCCCATACATAATTTTCAGTTGGGGTATTTTTTTTTTTTTTTTAAGATTTTATTTGTCAGAGCTAGAAGGAGAGCACAAGCAGGGGGAGAGAGAAGCAGGCTCCCTGCTGAGTAGGGAGCCCTGGATCATGACCTGAGCCAAAGGCAGACACTTAATGGACTGAGCCACCCAGCCATCCTAGGGTATTAGTTTTCTTTTTGACTTCTTAAAACTTTGGTTACTAAGATTAATTCTGTTATGTAATGGCAAGATCCTTTGCCCCCTCACTCATTTTACTCTGCATGTGGTGTGTTTTAAGATGGCTTAAAAATTCTACTGAGAGTCAAAATACAAAAATTTGCAACATACTTATGACTCTTTTATCATTCTTTAAAAGTACTTCCTTCTGAAGCTTTTAAAACTTCTGGACTACATTTTCTTTCCCATTTTGGTCTTATTCTTTTGTTTTACCTAAAACTTACTATGTATGAGGGAATGAGACTAGAACACAAGCTCAATTCTTTTTCTCTAAACAGCTTCAAGTTTACCTGCGGCAGTTAGAAGGAAAATTCCTTTTAATGACTTCAGTGTTATGAACAAATTTTCCTTCTGTGCCTGCATTTATTTCTGGATCTGCTATTAGATTTCATCTGTCTGCTGATTTTAGCACCATTCCTGTACGTGCTGGCTATAATATACCTTAAGATCTGGTTGTGCAAGACTAAAAGTGGGGCAAGAAAGAACATTGATATTTATGTTCTTAGGAAAAAAAAAAAACTTATTCCAGTAAATTGAGGCTATGCCCATAGAATTTCCTGAAAGGCTTATATAAGAGTGGTTCTTAAAATATCTATAAACCACCTGTTGCAGAGCTACTTGTAGATTTCTTTTTTTTATTTTAAATTCCTGGGTCCCACCCCAGACTCTGCCTACACATAAGTAGTGTTTGAGAAACTGTTTTTTACAAGCTTTCAGATTTTAAAGAACACCATGAAAAAAAACCTAGATAAAACATGGTAACCCAAGCCAGCAGTCTACTGTTTACACACTAAAGAACATCATCTTTTTATTACATAGAATATTTATATACATGAGTCAGTTATAAGTCTGTCCTGTCAATAAACATCTTTAGAGTACTCCCATCTACGTGTCACGCTAGGGGTACAAGGATGGCACCTTGCATTTGAGACTCCCTGGTGACACACGTCAAAGTAAAATGATTTTCCTGGAGTAGCTCGCAGTCAGCCTGTCGTGGAACAGATGTACAACTCGAGGGCATTCGTGTAGTGCAGTTAGTTGTAAGGCAATCCCGATAAAAAGTGAATGGGTCAGTTGATGGGGGGAGGAAAGCAAGAGCCTTAAATGAGAGCAAAGAAGGTTGGCTGCGTGGGAGAAGGAGCAGTACTCCTATTGCAACCAGAACGAAAGACCCACTGAGGAGGAGCTTGACAAGCCAGTAGAATATGTCATTAAATCTCATTGTCTTTCTGAATCTCTACTGTCCTTCATTTTTTATCTTGATACATTGGGATTATGTCACCAGCAAGTTTTCAACATCTCTTATGGCAAGATGAACATTGGGTTCAGTTGGCCCTTCTTAGAATGGGTTATTGGTCTCCATCACTCAGGATCACGTGAGCGCAGTGACCCTAGCCGACAAGACAGTGAATGCAGGCTACATGCTTCCTAACCCTGCCTTTTTGTGTCTATTACGTGCATTTCTTTAGATTCGGGAATACCCCATTGATGTCCAAAGCAACCAGCTGCCTTTTCTGCGGAATCCGGATATCCTGGTGGGAGAAAATGACCTCACCGCCCTTAGCTACCTACATGAGCCTGCAGTTTTGCATAATTTAAAGGTCCGTTTCCTGGAGTCGAACCATATCTACACTTACTGTGGTAAGTGGTGTGCGTCTGTTGTCTGCATGGGTTTGAAAGGACTTACGATCTTCAGACTATATGTGTTCAGCTCTAATAGTTAGGAATCCTACTAGCATTCTCATAAGTACCTCTCATCCAAGACCCTTGAAGGGTTTGCAATCAGAGAATGTGGCTTAATTAGGCCGCCTTGCATCTCTGTGGGACGATTGGTGTTAATCACAGCTCAACCAGGGAAGAAATGGACCACATGGTGTGGCTTGACTGACTTTGGCATAGTCTGGGGGTCTGTAGGAGAGCAGTAGAGGCATCCCAGGGTCCTAGCTCGGGTGTCTGTGTCCTCACCGGGCACACCCCCGGAAACAGATGCCCGGCAGGCTTCTGTTGTAGCCTAAGATTGTGCTGTCTTTGTCTGACCCTCTCCCTTGCCGTGTACAAACATGGTGCATGATGAATATTTGTCGAATTCACGAGCAGAAAACATGACAAATGCTTTAAAACAAAAGTCCTGAAATTCTCATTTTTGTTTTTCTTGAAACTTCTCAATTTCCTGCATTCCATTTTTTTTTTTCTTTTTTGGGGAGAATGAAGTGGTATGGTGAAAACCAGAGGCCTGTCCATGATTGTCTGAGGAGGAAACCTTTTTGGGGTCTGGCTGAGCAGTCAGGCTTAGGTGGCTGCTTTGGGTGTGAGCCCTGGTCTTCTCTCTTGATCACAAGGGAGGCCTCAGGGCCAGAGTTCTTTGCACTGTGATATTATTCCACTTCGGTTTGGAATTGGTTGGTTGGCTCCTAAGTTCCCGTGAGCTTTTCTGCTAGACTTGAGTGCTTGAGAAGTAGTTTCGCAAAAACTTCTTCAACCTGATTGCTGGTGAGAAGCCTATTTGAAAAAGACCATCAGTTATCAGAGACTTCAACAAGTTGGGCTTTTAAAAAAAAAAAAAAAAAAAAAAACCCCAAACAACAACAACAAAACCATCAGCTTCACTTTTTAAAGTTCTCCCTTCTAAAATAGGTCCTGGTATTTGTATGTAATTCTCCAAACGTCCCTTGGCCCCTCCGGCGTTGGCTGTTCAGAGTGACCAACATGGCACAGGATACGGAGTCCTCAAGAAGTACTCCTTTCTGCTCTGAAAGTGGCTGAGACATTTTAGGAAAACATGTGACCTTGGGGCATAATACCGAAATACCAAAATGCTACATGAATTAGGCTTTTATACAGCCCTCTAACAAACAGGACAACATGTTAAGGCTGTTTTTGAGAGACTCCTCCAAGTCATTAGCTTTAGGAGATATATATCAGTTCTAGGTGTTACTTTTCGGTCCAGGTTGTCTTTTTGGACAAACTTCCATTTGAAGACTTGGTGGGTGTCTTTCTCTCCCTTAGCCTGAAATGTAGTACACCAGATGATTCCAAGTATTCTGGTATGTTTTTTTCCTTTTAAAATAGACTTTTTAAAGCAACTGTGTTTAGGTTCACAGTGAAAATGAGTACGAGAGAGAGATTTCCCATATAATAACCCCTTCCCCCACACATGCTCAGCCTCACCTCCTGTTAACATTCTGTTCAAGAGCGATACGTTTGTTACAACCGATGAGTCCACACTGACACATTGTTGTCACCCAAAGTCTGTCATTTCCATTGGGTTCACTTGTGGTGGTTGGACATTCTGTGGGTTTGAACAAATGCATGACGACATGTATCCACCATGATGGTACCCTGACAGTAGTTTGACTGCCCTCTGATCCCCTGGGCTCCACCTATGCATCCCTCCCTCCCCTCAATCCCTGGCGACCACTGACCTTTCCTGCTGCCATCATCTTGTCTTCTGTGGACTAGCGTAGGGTTGGAATTACACGACCTTTCCGGATTGGCTTCTTCCACTTAGTAACAGGCGTTTCAGTTTCCTCCATGTCTTCTCATACCTTGATAAGCCCCCTTTTATAACACTAACAGTCCATTATCCGCGTGTGTCACAGTTTGAGTCACTTGTGGAAGGCACTTGTAGTTGCTTCTAAGTTTTTGCCGTTGTCAAAGCCACCGTGAACATCCACGTGCAGGTGTTAATGTCATAGAATGTTTTTGCCATCTTTGGATAAATACCAAGGAGTGTGAAAGCTGAATTCTGCAGTAACAGCATGTTTTGTAAGAAACCGTCGAAGTGGCTGTACCATTTTGTGCTCCCGCAGCGACGAAGTAGAACTTTCATTCCTCCACATCCTCACCAGCATTCGGTGTTGTCTGTGTTGTGGGTTTTCGCCATTTGAATGTGTGTGTAGTGGTATCTCCTTAGAGCTGTAATCTGTACTTCCCTGGTGGTAATGTGATGTGCTTATTTGCCATCTGTGGTCTTGGTGAGGTCTCTGTTTAGATCTTTTGCTCATTCTTCTATCAGATGGATCATTTTCTGATCCTTGAGTTTTAAGAGTTCTTTTTATTGGTTTTGGATATTACTCCTTTATCAGATACTTTTTTTTTTGGCAGATGTTTTCCCCATTCTCTTCTCATTTTCTTGACTCGTGTACCTTTTGATATACCAGAGGGGAACACCATGTAGGAGATCTTGCCATCTTGGCAATGACCTTTCCATTTTTGCACTTTCCCACATGACTGGAAAAGCTGCCATTTTTTTGTTACCTCTGTCAGTGGTTCTCTTGAGATCCAGATTGTGCTCTTATTGGAAAGAAAACAGCATGGATTTCTTGAAGATGGGATTTCATTTTTCTTTGTGTGTTCTCCAATATTACCTTGCCTTTCCATGAAAGATCGGGGGTGTTCGATGGTTTACTGACTCTTCATGCAACATGTATTTGAGTCCGTCATTGTAACATACTTTCAGGAGATACAAAACTTTTTTTAAAAAAGTGAAAAATAATACATGATATAAAATGATGTGAGCTAATAAAAATCGAACACTCTGTGCTTACTAGGCAAGATGCTGGTCTAAGAGTTCTTTATTAATCATTACCTGCAAGACAAGCAGGTGAAGGTAATTAGGGTTCCCAGTTTTATAGTCCAGGAAACTGAGGCACCTAGAGGTGAAGTAATTCACCAGCGTCCCCCAGTTAATACCGGTTGCGACAAGATTTGCTTGTGTGGCACTTCACGTGCATTTTAGGAGGGCTGTTTGCTGAGCGTCTGTGTACATGCACACACACGTGCTTATTCAACACTCTAGGGTATTTGGGGGCCCGGCTTTCTTTTCTCCAGTGGAGCCTAGCACAGTGCCTGGTGGAGACTCAGACACATCTTGATTTAGTTGAGTGGTTGGTTGTGATTCGTTCTCCTCCTCCATGTTTCGTTTTGATGTATATAAACAAGGCCTTTAAAAGGCTTGTGCTGGCTGGCCGGCTTGCTGTCAGCATCTGACTGCATTCTCTGTTTGCAGGGATCGTGCTGGTTGCCATTAATCCTTACGAGCAGCTGCCAATCTATGGTCAAGATGTCATCTATGCCTACAGCGGCCAAAACATGGGGGACATGGACCCACACATCTTTGCTGTGGCAGAAGAAGCCTACAAGCAGATGGCCAGGTAAGAAAGACTTCAGCCCGGCGGTCCTTTCGGGTAATCTGAGAGCAGAAAGGGAAGCGTCTGCCTTCCTTGGCTGCTTTTGCCCAGTGGTCGAGTGGTGATTCTGGGGTTGCGTGAAAGTACTGGGGACAGCTCCAACTCAGGTTCTAGTTCTCTCTGCCTTTCCCCTCGTCGTCATTGTCATCCTGTGAACCCGAACCTCTCCTTGAAGAGCAGGGGCTCCTAAGACTTCATTCAATTTTTCTGAGCAATGACAAAAACAAATGCCTTGGGATTTCCTCTGTCCTTGCCTGCCTTTTAGATTTCTTGCCTCCCCTCCTGGGGTAACAGATTCATTTTCTAGCCTCACCATGCTAGCTCACCATGCGTTTCACAGATCCCGCTCAAGTCTTGCTCCCTTTGAAGGAACCAGGACTCCGAGAACTTCCTGAGCTACCAAGCATTTGAAATGGGAATTTCAAAACAGGGGTTGTGTATAGTGGGTCTAGAGTTCTCTTTAGAGACTTAAGTCAATCTCCTCTGTTTTGTCCTTTTTTTTTTTTTTTTTTTTTTAAGCTCTGAAAGATGGGTACAGGTTTGTTTCATTGGAAAGTGGGCTAGGTGATTCTATTAGGGTTCTGCTGGGAAACAAACCAGTAGCAGGGGAAGAGAGGGAGAATGTGTGTGTTTGGGGAGGGGTCTGTGGGTTATTTTAAGGAATGGTCTCCTGTGGTTGTGCAGTCTGCAGGGCAGGCTGGCGGGCTGGAGACCTACAGAGGAGTGAATATTGTATTTCAAGTCTGAGGCCAGTCTGCTGTCATAATTCTCTCTTCGGGGAAGGTAAACTTTTTTTTTTTTTCTTCTTAGGGTCTTCATCTGATTGGTTGAGGCCCACCCACATTATGAAGGATCATGGGTTAAAAAAAAAAAAAAAAGGACAGCCTACCAACTGAAATGCTAATCTCTTCACCAGCACTGTCTTGACTACCGCTTGACCAAATACTGGGGTCCTATGGCCGAGCTAAGCTGACATGTAAAACTAATCATCACACTAATGGTCTTGAACTATTCAGGCATAAAGTGGGGGTAGATAGATTCACCGACTTTTTCGTAGAAATGCATATTCCTATTCATGCTAACATGCTGGATCTTTCCAAGCAAATCTTTCTTGCCATCTCTGGAGAACTCCTTATGGAGCTAGCAAACCTAGGGAAGTCCTTTGTGGGGAGGAGGGCTGCTTTGGCTAATTTAGTGAGAGAAATCCCATTTCAGATGATGTGTGTTTCAGTGGATTTCAGGGTATAATTTTCAGCCCAGTGAAAGTTTCTATGACAGAAGGCGTTCTATAGACTTCTCTACTGATTCAGTATTTCCTTGCTGGTTGTAGAACTCAGTGTAGAAAAATTTATGCTTCCTTATGGATATTTACTGACCATGTTCAACGTGAGCACTGATGGGAGAGATGAGCAATTCAACAAATAGAATGATCCATAACCATTTTATTTCTCTAAAGTGTGGTGGGCACCTGGTAAAATGGTCTCTACCTTTGACAACTCTAATGCCATAAAGAAGACCAAGTACTGTATTAATCTACTTCAGGGCTTGACTAGAAATCACTTAGCTTGATAACTTATTGACGCAAGCCTCCTGACAGAAAGCATGGTTCATGGTCGGGACGTGTGGAGAGAAGAATGGGTTTTAATGTGCTTCGGTGTTTTAGTACGCAGCCCCACTCAGGTGTTGTTATGGGAGGTCAAGAGTATGGCAAAGTGGAGAAAGACCTGGGATTGGGACAGGCTCCCATGCTTTGGGAGAATCACTTGCATTGAGTCTTCAACTATCTTCCTTTCTTTGGAGGATGTCTTCTTTGTGGTTATAAAACAGAAGGTGAGGGGCGCCCGGGTGGCTCAGTCATTAGAGTGTTTGGCTCGTGGTTTTGGCTCAGATCATGATCTCATGGGCTGTGAGATCGAGCTCCACATTGGGCTCTTTGCTCAGTGGGGAGTCTGCTGGAGATTGTCTCTCTCTGCCCCTCTCCTTACTCAAAAGCACGCATGCACACAACACACACACACACACACACATAAACACACACACACACACACTCTCTCTCTCTCTGTGTCTCTAAAATCTTAAAACACACACACACACACACACACACACACATACAGGTGAGTGTGGCTTGGTTCTGATGACTTTCTACTATACTAAAAGTTCTAGCAGCTCTTTGACTCGTCTCTTGATGGATGTCATTTATCATTGTTTTCCGTCCCATTCTCCTCTTACCCAGTTGCACTTAGGTGTATCAGAAGTTGCTGGGGTTCTTTTACTGAAGACTTCTTGGGGTGCCCTGATAGCTCTGAGAGTCTCCTAGCCTCTGGAGCTCTCCACACCATAGATCCTCTCGCTTAAATGCCCCCAATCTTCCCTTCCATGCCTGGAGCTGGATGCATGGTTATTCGATACTTGGGTTATTTCATTTGCTTGGGTCCATGTTCACATCCACTAGAGGGAAGGGGATGCAGTTGTACAGGGTGATGATGATACAGTCTTGCCCTAGGTTTATGAATTTCACAATTAAGGGGTTTGGGTGTTAAAGTTGGACCAGGAATTGCTTCCTTCAGGGTTTTGTTTTAAAGTTTATACTCATTTTACTCACTGAGTCCTAGGTTGTAGCCAAATAATTTTGCTGACATTCTTATGCAATTTTTGCTCATGAACACGCATTGGAAGCGTAAGTCCAGCATGTGTGGCCATGGGAGAGAGCTATTTTTGAATATTCTGGTGTCAGCAGCTTAGGGTTTCTTACTGATTCGAGAGACACATTGGAAACCCCAACAGAATCTTTGTTGTGCAGAAAAGTTTTTGCTGTATTTCCAGTATGGACCTTCTCTGTCACTTCCAGATGCTAGACCACATTCATTAAACAATACTTCCTGACTGGGTTGAGTTCCTCCTTGATTCATCAGTAGCTGTTGAAATAATGATGTGATTCAAGTAGCCACAGCCTAGTACAGTGCGCTTTGCATCTGATCTCTGGAACAGCTGGGCAAAATAATCAGTGTAAGAAACCAAAGTTAATGACTTGTGGTATTGGGAGACTGTGACTCTGTTGGCCTTGGATTCAGCAGTTGTATCTCTTGATTCACTGGGGATTTGATTTTTTTTTCCTTTCAAGTTTTTATTTAAATTCTAGTTAGTTACCATAGAGTATAGTATTGGCTTCAGGAGTAGAATTTAGTGACTCATCCCTTATATATAACACCCAGTGCTGTTCATGACAAGTGCCCTCCACAATGCCCACCACCCGGTTAGCCCATCTCCCACGCACCTCCCGCCATCACTCCCAGTTTGTTCTCTAATAAGAGTCTCTTATGGTTTGTTTCCTTTTTTTGTTGTTGTTCCCCTTCCCATGTGTTCATTTGTTTCATTTTGTTAAATTCCACTCCAGTGAAATCACATGGTATTTGTTTTTCTCTGACTCATTTTGCTGAGTATAATATACTGTAGCTTCATCCTTGTCCTTGCAAATAGCAAGAATTCGTTCTTTTTTTGTTTTTTCTTTGAGTTCGTTCTTTTTGATTGCTGAGTAATATTCCTGTGTGTGTGTGTATTTGTTATTTATACCACATCTTCTTTATCCATTCACTAGTTGATGGACACTTAGGCTCTTTCCATAGTTTGGTATTGTTGATAACCCTGCTGTAAACATTGGAGTGCCGGTGCTGCTTCAGATTTGTATTTTTGTATCCTTTGAGTAAATACTTAGTGGTGCAATTGCTAGATCATAAGGTAGTTCTATTTTTAGCTTTCTGAGGAGCCTCCATCCACACTGTTTTCCAGAGTAGCTGCACCAGTTTGCATTCCCACCAACAGTGCAAGAGGCTTCCCCTTTCTCCGCATCCTCGCCAACGTCTGTTGTTTCCTGTGTTGTTGATTTTAGCCATTCTGACAGGTGCGAGGTGGTATCTCATTGAAGTTTTGATCTGTATTTCCCTGATGCCATGTAATGTTAAGCATCTTTAGTGTGTCTGTTGACCATCTGGATGTCTTCTTTGGAAAAGTGTCTGTTCATGTCTTTTGCCCATTTCTTAGCTGGATTATTTGCTTTTGGGGTGTTGTGTTTGATAAGCTCTTTTTAGATTTTGGATACTAACCCTTTATCAGATATGTCCTTTGCAAATGTCTCCTCCCATTCCGTGGGCTGCCTTTTGGTTTTGTTGACTGTTTCCTTGTCTGTGCAGAAGCTTTTTATCTTGATGGAGTCCCAATAGTTCATGTTTGCTTTTGTCTCCCTTGCCTCTGGTGATGTGTCTAGTAAGAAATTGCTATGGCCGAGGTCAAAGAGGTTGCTGCCTGTGTTCTCCTCCAGGATTTTGATGATTTCCTATCTCACATTTAGGACTTTTGTCTGTTCTGAGTTTATTTTTGTGTGTGGTGTAAGAAAGTAGTCCAGTTTCTTTCTTTATGTTGCTGTCCAATTTTTCTAACACCATTTGTTGAAGAAACATTTCTTTCATTGGCTGTTCTTTCCTGCTTTGTCTACACTGTTGACCCTATGGATTTTCTTTCTTGATGTGGCTCGCATCAGAGACTTTCCAGCTCCTGGTGCTCTGAGGGGGTCGGGGAATCCTGTCAAAGTTCAGAGGGATAGATAGAGACCATCATCCCCATCCTGAGAGCTGCTGCAGAGTACTGCCATGCTGGAGGGAAGAAGGAAGAAACACAAGGACAGCCAACAACTAGTCACTGCCCCTACCCCTATTGAATTCAGCAAAGCTAGACTTGAGAGTAAATGGCGATTCACAGTAAAGAAAAGGTTAGTGGTGCCTGGGTGGCTCAGTTGGACGAGGATCTGACTGTTGTTTTTAAAGATTTTATTTATTTATTTGACAGAGTGATCACAAGAAGGCAGAGATGTAGGCAGAGAGAGAGGGGGAAACAGGCTCCCTGCTGAGCAGAGAGCCTGTTGTGGGGCTCGATCCCAGGACCCTGAGATCATGACCTGAGCCAAAGGCAGA